CCCCAAACCCTAAACCCCAAACCCCAAACCTCTAAACCCCAAACCCTAAACCCCAAACCCTAAACCCCTAAACCCTAAACCCCAAACCCCAAACCCCTAAACCCCTAAACCCCAAACTCTAAACCCTAAATCCGAAAACCCCAAACCCTAAACCCTAACACCCCGAACCCCAGCTTCCCTCACCCCCCAAGGCTCGGGCTGCAATGACTTGCTGCGCCAGGCCTTGACTATCTCCTGGTCCGACGGTTCGGAGTTTGGGGGTTTAGGGTTTAGGGTTTAGGGGTTTAGGGTTTAGGGTTTAGGGTTTAGGGGTTTAGGGTTTGGGATTCGGGGTTTAGGGTTGAGGGTGGTTAGGGGTTTAGAGTTTATAAGTTTAGGGTCTAGTTAAGATTTAATCAGGTTTGAGGTTTCGGGGTTTGGGGTTCGGTTGGGTTTTAGGGTTTCGCGAGCTTAGGGCTTCAAGGAAGTTTCGGTTCGGGGTTCAGGGTTTCTCATGCTTGAAGGTTTTCGTGACAGCTTCTTTGAAAGTCCCATAATTAAGGGAAGTATGCGTCAGTACAAATTATTGCCGGACGGACTCCATGAGGGAACTACAAGGTCAAGATCACTAGTACCGTGCTAAGTGTTGCAGTATCCCTCAACGCACAGAAAACTGAAGATTCTGGGCTAATTGTAAGCGCCTGAATAATTAGACTCGAGCTTGGTGTGTACATTACACTATTAGTATAGTTATAGTAATAGTAAAGCACCCTGCAAGTAAGCATTAGTTGTTCTTCACGCGTCTGTTGGAGATTTCGACCTGGAACTTCACCTCCTAGGAATTCAGGGTTTGCGGGCCTTTACTTACTGAAGGCTTCCTTTAAGACTTCATGTTAGGGTTGATTTAAACCCTAAACCCTAAACCCTAAACCCTAAACCCTAAACCCTAAATAAACCCATAGGGCTTCCTTAAAGGGCCCTTTTAAGGGCTCCGCTTTAAGAGTTCCTGAGGAGCCCACCAGGGCGTAGAGTTCCGGGGATGGGGCGCTTAGGGATCCCATTAGGTTCCCCAGCAAAGCCGTTCATGGAGGTGTCTAAATAGGGTTTAGGGTTTAGGGTTTAGGGTCTAAATAGTTACCCATACTATTTTGATTTGGGGAGGTTCCTTATTACAATTGTAGTATAATGGACCCCGAAGCCCTTTTCCAATTATTCAGGCCCCTTAGATTACTTAATGTGAAGGTACCCCCTTCTTTTCCCACGAGTTTTGATAAGGAGACCCCCAAATCTAAAGAGAAAAAGGTACTGCCGGGGGCCCCTAACTACCAAGAAGGGTGCCGTCACTTTTCGCCACCCAATCTAACCAATGAGGAGACCCCCTGCCCACCTACGGATTACGTTGCGTAAGGTTCCGGATTAGGGCCGGGATTCTGGCTGACCTGCGTGGGTGCTTCTGTTGCGGCCTGGTTTAGGCGTGGAGAAGGTGGATTGACGAATTCATGAGCAGGGCATATGTCGATGGATACCGAAAGAGAGAGGCCTTTCACCTTCAACTGATCTCGGGCACAAGTTCATAGAGCTTCTAACACCTAAACCACCCATAAACCCTAAACCCTGAACTTCCCCAAGATACCCCCTAACACTAAACCCTCGACTTCCCTAAACCTCTAGTCCCGGAAACATCGAGCCACTCTGTAGTCAACCCCAAAAAGGTTGGAAATCGGATTAAGGACAAATAGTGCTGAGATTCCCAGACATTACTCTTACGGATTGAGGCTATTGGGTTTCCAACTTTGGGGCTAAACCCTAAAACCCTGAACCCTAAAACCCTAAACCCTAAAACCCTGAACCCTAAAACCCTAATACCCTAAAACCCTAAACCCTGAAACCCTGAACACTAAAACCCTGAACCCTAAAACCCTAACCCCTAAAACCCTAAACCCTAAACCCTAAACCCCTCAACCCTGAACCCTGAAACCCTAAAACCCTGAAACCCCTCAACTCCTCAACCCTAAACCCTCACCCCTAAAACCCTAAACCCTTAAACCCAAAAACCCTAAAACCCTCACCCCTAAAACCCTAAACCCCTCAACCCTAAACCCTGAAACCCGAAAACCCGCTGTACTGGGCCTTGGTCGTAGCATCTTCTGAGACACCTGGGAAAGGTCCCATTCGAACCCAGACGGTCGAGGGTACAGGTTCAGGGTTTAGGGTTTAGGGGTTTAGGGGTTTAGGGGTTTAGGGGTTAGGGGTTTAGGGGTTTAGGGTTTAGGGTTTAGGGTTTATCAGGTACACCGTCTTCAGCCCGTCAAAAGTCTCCCTAAACCCTGAATGCGGGAGACTTAATAATTAGAAGAGGGTTTTGGGCTGATTTGTACACTAGAGTTATAACAAGGACCCCCCCGAATAGTATAGATAATTAGTTAGGCCCTAAACCCTAAACCCTATTTCCCACAGCCCTAAAACTTAGACCCCAATACAAGCCCCAAGCCCCGAAGCCCCACGATGAAAGCCCTACCTAAAGTCTCTGTAGCTCCCTGTTTAGAATACCTTTATAGGAACCAACAGAGAATGATCATAAAGCCAACAAAAGGAAATACGCTAAGGCCCCAAACCGCCGCGGATCTGATAAGGCTTTTCCCGACTCTTTAGTCTAAGGGTCCATGGTTTAGGATTTATGGTTTAGGAAGGTGCCCAAGCAGTATGCCCGAGAGTGCCGTTATAGGGACTGCTTTAACGTCTGATCTCAGAGAAAGAGGCTGTCCCGTCGAATTGACAAAGGTAGAACCCTTACCCTCAAAGGACTCATATGCTAAGGCCTTTGGGGCCAAAGACCCTATTATAAAAGGCTTTTGGGCAATTTTGATGCATGAGGGGAAGGTTAAGGTGTAGGGCTTTGGGTTTAAAGTTCTTGGTCCTGCGTGGAGGATCCAGGGACTTCGATTCAAAAGCAAAGTTATAAGTTCTAGGTACCTGAGTTGAGGGGTTATACGTAGCTATAGGCATAGTTCATGTCAGGCAATAATAGTTAGAATGGGATTTTGGTGTCCGTTTATGGTATAATCATAATAAAGCACCCGCAAAGCAGTACAGTATAGGTGATTATTGAGGCCATTATGTTACATTATTTGTCATCGATCCTTTAAGTGGGGCGGGTCCTCTTAGGCCAGCTCCTCCGGCGACGGTCTCGCATGCGAAACTTGTAGGGGACCTTAAACCTTAGACCCTAATTTAGGGCTTAGGGTTTAGGGTTTACGGTATAGGGTTTAGGGTTACACTTAACCCTAAACCGGATTTTGTTGGAAACCTTTCACTCACTGCGTAAACCCGCAGTCTTACTTAAACCATCCTCAACCCCTCAACCCGGCATGCTGTACCTGCCCTGGACTTCGCCAAGGCATGAAAGTCATGCTATACTTCTAGGCTTCCCTGATGTCTTGCTAGGGGAAAAACGATTTCAAACCCTAGACCCGAAACCCTAAACCCTAAACCCTAAACCCCTAACCCCTAACCCCTAAACCCTAAACCCCTAAACCCCTAAACCCCTAAACCCTTTCAAAGCCCAGTCAAACACGTGAAACCACCCCAGAAACTTCGAAGTTCTAGGGTAGAGGGGTTTAGGGTTGTTCGTTTAGGGTTTAGGAATTGGAGTTGTTCGTTTAGGGTTCAGGAATTGGAGTTGTTAGTTTAGGGTTTAGGGTTGTTCGTTCAAAGTTCAGGAATTGGAGTTGTTACTTTAGGGTTTAGGGTTGTTCGTTTAGGGTTTAGGAATTGGAGTTGTTAGTTGAGCGTTTAGGGTTGTCCGTTTAGGGTTTAGGAATTGGAGTTGTTAGTTTAGGATTTAGGTTTTAGAGTCTAGGGTTTAGGGTTGTTCGTTCAAGGTTCAGGAATTGGAGTTGTGAGTTTAGGGTTTAGGGCTTAGAGTTTAGGGTTTAGGGTTTAGGGTTTAGGGTTAAGGGTTTAGCGCTGATCTACACCCCTGAACCCTAAACCGAACTCTTGTTATGGAGTTTAGCTTCAGTTACCATAACAAGGAGACCCTACTATTTACTATAGATCCTTACTGTGGTAACTTTCCCGAGCAAGAACCCAGTGAATCCTGTGTACCAGGCCCAAGATCACGTGATCTTTTTCATCCCATATCGTCTTTTCTTTCGCCTGTGCATCCAACGAGCGTCTACACCCTAAGACCTAAACCCGAAATCACAAAATCTAGCAACCTACAATCAAAACAAACCGGCGACACGACCCAATACCACTTGAGACAACGCAGGGTGAGAAAGCTCAGAATGTTTTTGGCTGATGGAGGTGATGATGCAGTGATGAAGACGACGCAGCAGGGAATGCTGGTCGTGGAGATGACGATGATGGTCCTAGTCATTTCTCAGGCTGCTACAGATGTCATCACGAGCTGGTGACTAAGACAATGACAATGGTCCATGCTGTTCAGAAGACACTGGTGATCAAGATGAAGATGGCATCACTTTGGGAATGGTGATGATAAGGATGGTGTTGGTCACCCTAGAGATGAGGACGGTAATGGTGGGAATGAAGATGGCCCATGTGAACATGGTGAGCATGATGAACCTAATGGGCCACAGCGGAGACGATGAGCATCCTGACGATGGTGATGACTTCGATAACGATGTAAAACTAGCTGACTGACTGACTGACTGACTGACTGACTGACTGACTGACGAACGCACGAACGAACAAACGAACGCCGAACAAACGAACGCACGAACGAACAAACGAACGAGCGAACGAATCGCTTGAATTTAACTTCTGTGCGACTAGACTGGAGTAGTGCGGCTCCCCCAGTAAACGTCAGCTGCAATGTGAAACCTGGCTCTTGCGCCATGAGGACCACGAACCGCCATTAACATTGTAATGAGCTTTACCGTCATCGTTTGTATTTTGCCATGAAGCAGACTAGTTCATGTAAATCCCCAAAACCATATGATTGCGTCCACCTCCAACGTCTTGAAGCCTTTCTGCTTGCTTTCGGCAGTCTGGCCAGCAGAGCAGCAGGTTTTGGAGCTTTCTATCCCCGCTAAATCCCTATAGCCATGAATCCCTAATCCCCAAGCCCTAACTTGCACAAATCATAATCATAATAACTCCTAATATAGAAGCCCGACATTCTACTATGTACGCACTTGGGACTACAATTTAGGGTTTAGGGTTTAGGGTTCAGGGTTTAGGGCTAGGTTTCCGGCTTTACAAGCTTCTCAGGGATTATGTTGAGACAATTT